GTAATCCCCATCCCCGTTACGTGTCTGCTTGCACAGAAGCATGTCGCAACATGAATCTCCCCACCCAATTCTTTCACGATGACACACATTTCGTGTGTTTTCCGTAAGCAGTTCTGTTCAAACAGTTGGAGTAGAGAATATTGTAGGCTACTGCTAGCAAAGTAATGCCAAGTATGTAATCACTTTCGGTAATCCGACACCCCTTTGGTCCCATATCTGTCAGATTATCAAAGGACAACTGTATTATCAAAGTTACACATCAAAGAAAACAAGGAACAATTCTCTCCCAATGGGAGATGTTAATCCCTCTTTTAGTCATGGGCGATTGTTATCTCCCATGACTAAAAGAGCTGACTAACTCAAAAGACTCATTGACAATACCCAGTCAGATGATCTTTGAGCTTGATCTCCATTGGAAGAGATCTGGAGAATTGAAAAGTATAAATAGGGGATACTTGCTACACTCAGGTCACTTCAGCTCTTCAGTGCTCCAGCAAGGTCCTTGTTAAACTAAGTGCCATAGTTTCTCTTACAAGTAACTTCTGCCCAAGATTACGAATCGCCTAAGTCAAGTTATCACAGAGGTAATACAATAAAATGTAATATTGTTTGTAAACACTCTCTCATCTTTAGGGATCTAGTTTAAGGTTTAGTTTAAGGTTTAATCATAGCTAGATATATTTAGTTCATTTGTATTCTTTGTGATTCATTAAAATTATTGTTAATTTGCTAATGGGACTTGATTCTAGTTTCCTCGCGGACTCCTATCACTTATTTACGTCTCCCCCATTCAAACGAGCCCCCAATCGGAATAATAGAAGAAACATGAGTTAAACTGTGAATTAAATTAACCCCTGACCCCCTGCTTATCTCACATATTGATAATTACGGAATATATACCGATTTACCGGTTAACCGATAAATTGACGAAAAAACATTCGGTAAACTTACCAGTAAATGAAAAATTCATACTAGAAATTTTTATGTAGAAAATATTGTGTTTATAGATATTTAAAAGAGCTAAAGGGACATTGAAAATAAAAAACAGGCAAGTGTAAGCAACAATATAACTAATTATTAATTTTGAGATATTTTTTGTTTAATTTAAAGTTTCTTGGGTTTGAGAGGCACTGTAAATTGTACAGAAAGCTCTAGTTAGCATATGTGATTTGTGCTCTGCCGTTTTTTGAGATTTTTAAAGGTTTAAAATCTTTACAATCAACGTTTTTCTTAAAGATTAAGTAAATATCTTTTTTTTAATATTTAAAAATAATAATACGTAAATATTTCACGTACTTTTTAAATTAATAGCAATTTTGAATACACCACATTATGACAGGACATTAAAGCAATATTATTGCAAAATAACATTAAAATTTGTACCTTAAATAAATTTTTTACTTCTAACAACTGTTTAAAATAATTAAATACAAATATTTATTACAAGATTCTAACATTATGCCTTACGATTGTGCAAAATATGTATTATTCTAACCTTATTTTCGTGGGGAATCCCCATTACTCTCACGAAAAGAACTTTCTTTAATTTTAGATTGTAGAACCCGGTGGAATAGCTTACTAAACATGCTGGAAAGATTTTTATTACTTAAAGATGATGTCCGAAAAAGTCTAGAAACTTAACCTAACCCGGATTATTTTGTACAAAAATTAGATCAAAATTAGGAGATAAGACTTTAAATAATTTAAGTTTCTTGAGAAGTTATTTTTTAAAAAATGGTAATGAATAAAATGGTATTAGGTACTATATATAATTTCTGTTGTATTTTTATTTTTCTGTATTTTATTTCTGTTTATAAAAGTTATTATTATAGTTTTTTTAGAATAACACTTAATTTTTATATTTTTTATATTCTATATCTTTGAAATAAAAAATGTGAAATGGAAATCAGAATGACTTATATTTTTTATCACCTTAATTTTGTTTATAAATGAATGGTGTGATTTTAAAAATTAATAATAAATCTATTTATTACCTTATATGGGCAAACCTTACAGCATAAGCTGCAACTACAAGTTTTTTATGCATTAATCACAATCCTTCAGTATGTGCACCCATGGTCACATGACACACATCTACATGGTGTTAAAATTCTTCCCATACATGGGGTAGCGTGTCCTCTGTGATGGTCTGCAGTGCATGCTTTTATCCAATCACACAGTTCCTCAAGAGAGAAGGGCATTGACAGTACATAAACTTGGTCTTTAACAAACTCCACAAAAAGAAATCACAGGGTGTTAAATCTGGCGAGCAGGGTGGCCAGGGGAGCGGGTTGTTGTCTGCTGTTACACCACATCCAATCCTACATTGGTAAAGAACACAATTAAGAAGTTTGCGTGCATTTCTGTGAACTTGGACAGTTGCAGCTGCTTGTGCTGTAAGGTTTGCCCATATAAGGTAATAAATAGATTATTATTAATTTTTAAAACTGCACCATTCATTTATAAACACCCTGCATAATTCTCGGTTAAATCTTCATTATCTAATGTAGCGTTGTATATTTCTATGCAAAAATTTTTCATTCCTGTGAATTAGATTCTGCTAATACAGATAAAAATTATAACACTAATGCAAAGTAAGATTAGTCATTCCTGAAATAAATGAAAAATATAGGTGGATAATAATGTACATATTTTTGGTTTTAAAATTTATAGAAAACTGACAGATTTTTTCATTTTTTTTTCTAATACTAAATTAAATTTAATAATAAAAATCTTTCAGATGCCTAATATCAAGCTTCAGAGTTCAGATGGTGAAATTTTTGAAGTGGATGTTGAAATTGCCAAAGCTTCTGTAACTATAAAAACAATGTTCGAAGGTAAGTGCAGTTATGAAATATATTAAAATTCTGTAATAAATCCTAAAATTTCTTTTTATCATCACTAATTTTTTAACAACAAAAAACATAATAGGATATTTTAGGAAGTATTTTATTTGAAATTGCTAACATATTAACCCTAGGATACACATAGCTTAGGATATGAAATATCCAATTAAAGATTTGTCTGTTTTTGAAAATATTTTAATTTCCTTTCATGAATTCCTTGCTCACGGTGTTCAATATAAATTATACTGTATATGTTAAACATTTTTCATTTTAAATGACCTAAATAAATTATTTTTTACTGTTATGTGTAACTGGGTATTTTGAATTTATTACATTACATAGTGTTTAAGAATCAAAACAAAAAAAATTTTCAGCTCTTGTTTTGGCACCAGGTTTAGTACTGTAGTCACAGCAATCTCGGGAATGTCTTTGTAACGAGTCCCTTTCATTGGAATTTTAAGTTTCATTGAACAGAAGATAGTCAGAGGGAGCCAGATCAGGAGAATAGGATGGATGGTCAAGGATTACAATACCTTTTGAGCCAAAAATTGATAAACAGCAATGCTCTTGTGTGAGGTGCATTTTTGTTTAACTGTGGCCAACTTTCTTGAGCACAATACTCCAGCTGTATATGTAAAACTTGATTTCAAAGACATTACAAAATAACCAAACAATATTTCTTAGTGACATTCTGGCCATTGCCTGATGCCCTTGGAGTCAAAAACAGATGAGCATGGTCTTGACCTGTGATTTTTGGAAGCAAAGTTTTAATGTATAGGCTAGTGTAATGATTTCCATATAGTATTTTGACATTTGTCAATGGATTGTACTGGCAGCACCCATGACAATGTTTTCAAGAGAATTTGGGTTGCAGTGATCCATTTTGATGATGTCCTGAGCATAATGATTGTAAAAAGTGCAATTCACATTAACCAATTAACTGGTGTGAATACGATTAACATTTGCGAACGTTTTTGTAACCTCTTTTGGGCTCTTCAGGCTTCTTTTTTTATTCGAAACAAACTGGCAATTAACATTCAAATATAAATTGAATGGTAATAGATTTCGGATACCATACATACAGTACATGCACATTCAAACTAATCCTATTGTTCAATCTTATTTTAAACATCTTAATGGGAATGCATGTGTTCCACTTTAAATACACTTGAAAATTAAATATCATTGTCCAGTGGAGCCTACCACGCCATCGAAAGACATGTGCCTAAACTTAATGCAGCAAGTCTTATTCTTATTCTTAATGCAGATGGTTCTGCAACAAGCCTTAAGTTTATATCCTTGTCCTTAAATTAAATTTTAGGACAAGAATATAAACTTAATGTAACTTAATGTTTCAGTAAACTTTTCTTCAGTTTCACACAGAATTTAACATTGACACATTGCTCCATTGCAATTTTCTGACAAGGGTCATGAAATAACTCTTACCTTTCATGCTATACAAAGGATTGTTATGAACTGATTCAAATGCTGTTGCACATCATTGATAATATAATTTTGACTGTTAGTACTTGTGCCAACTAATTATATTTCTAGAGCAAAACTTTGGTTTCTTTTTAGACAACCTATGTATATAAAAAAAAAATTCTTAAGCATTGTATTAACTTTTTCATAATTGGCTTAAGATTTTGTTTTTTAGAATTTGGTCTTATTGTTAACTTCGTAATTATGAATTACTATAATTAAATTGACTGCAGAAAGTGCAGTACTATCAAAGTATCTATTTTTGATAGATTTGCTTTTATTTACAAACTGATGCAAGACACTTATTGAAACCCCACTGCATTAAAATATCTAATATTTGAGTTTTGATCATGCAATAGCAATCCAAAGCATGTATAATAAAGTCAAATTACCTATAACAGATTTAACATAAATAGATTCCAAGAAAATTGAGTGTTTTATAATTAATTTACTTAATTTGCAAATGAATTTTCAACATGAGTCAGAACTCCAGTTAACTGAGTTAAACATTTATTTATTGTCAGACTAATCAACTCATTATTATTATTATTATTCTTATGTTACAGAATAAGCAATTTAATTTATTTTCGAACATCAAAATTTTATTAATGTTTTTAAAATATTTTCAGAATTAATAAGTACTAGCTTACTCATTTTTTTTTATTTCAATGTAGATCTTGGCATGGATGAAGATGAAGAGGATGTTATACCTCTTCCAAATGTGAATTCAGTTATTTTAAAGAAGGTGATCCAGTGGGCTACGTATCACAAAGATGATCCTCTTCCTCCAGAAGATGATGAAAATAAAGAGAAGAGGACAGATGATATAAGCTCTTGGGATGCTGATTTTTTAAAAGTTGATCAGGGCACATTATTTGAGTTAATTCTGGTAAGAATTATTTATGCAGCTTGGGATACAATAAATTGGTTTTTCTTCATTTTTTTTTAACATGCCCTAAAACGATACAGACAACTAAGAACACATCTCCACAAAGCTGAATTAAAATATCCAGTACCTTAACATATAAAATAATTTCTTTAGTAGATAAAGTAAATCAAAAGTAGAATGAAATAGCAGCAAGTATACCTTTTTTAAAAGCTTCCAGAGTAAAGCAGTGATGTATTGTCCGTGCACTCTGTGGCTGAATGATTGATTAATAACAGTAATGAGGTCCTATGTGCGTGACCTAAGTTAAATGTTTCTCGGAGCCCCTTCCATCTTGTGGAATCTTTTGGTTCTGCAGGACAGTTTGACTAACTCTAATGGATTAATCAATTTATGACCTAAATTTTTTATTATAAAATGTTTTAAATAGCTAAAAATCAGGATATTTATCCTGGTTTTTAGCTATTTAAAACATTTTATAATAAATTTGGTATAAAATTTTTTAAATAGGTTGCTTCATATTCAATAGTAAAATTTACATTAAATTCTCTTATAGGCAGCTAATTACTTAGACATAAAAGGATTGCTCGACGTAACATGCAAAACAGTTGCCAACATGATCAAAGGGAAGACTCCAGAAGAAATAAGGAAAACATTCAACATCAAGAATGACTTCACACCCAGTGAAGAAGAACAAGTAAGTAGCAACTATTTTTATATACAAAATGCTTTTGCAAAAATTTCAATTACTTAAAATTTAATTTCAGGTCAGAAAAGAGAATGAATGGTGTGAAGAAAAATGAACTATATCAATGTGATCAGCTGTATTGTGATTCCTTGTGTTTTTCCATTTGGTCAATGTGAAAAAAAGAATGAAATATATAATATTATGATACAAATGGTTTCTGATAGCATTAACATGGAACATCTATTCTGTTACTTGTTACTGTTTAATGGTGCCATTTACGTATTACATATACATATATATTTAAAGCAGCTTTGTTCCAGAACTAGATTGTCATTTTGTTTACGAAGAAAGTTTTTTCAATGAATTCACTCAAAATTTCTCTTTCAGGCATTCTACTTTTATATAATAATAAACAATAATAATAGAAATTGTTTTTCAAATATCTGTAAGGTAAGACAAGGAATATTTTAGTAGTTCCATTAGATTGTTTTCATCAATTTTATTCACATTTAAAGATTCCTTTGTGACAGTGTATTCGGGTATGTTTGATTGAGTGAGAACTTCAGTTTTAAAGATTGATATTGATAAAACCTTGCTTAAAAATAAAATATTGTAAAAACTAAATGTATGTTGTATTTTTGTTTTTTATAGTAAAAGTAATTTATAATGCCAGCTGCAGATATAGAAATCTCAAAAGCCAAATTATAAAGTTCTTTTCATATTTTGGGATTCTTACGTTAAAAGATTTCTGATATTTTTCCAATTTATTTATCTTAAATTGTTGAAGATCAAATTTGAATTAATTTTTCAGCAGCATTTGACTAGCAATAGCAATGTTTTTTGTATATAAAGATTAAAGACTAGTAGTATGCAAAGTGTGCACTAACCTGTTTAGTACTTTTCTCTCGGTAGCATCCTTTATCAGGACTAATTCTAAAGAGATTTTCAATTTTTATCAGTAAGATTAATTTACAATTAATTTATTACAATTTAATCTGACTAGATACTTAAGATCAGGATGTTGTTTTATATAACAATAATATTTACATATTTAAACTCAGTGCATTTTGAGATAATCTTTCATTTTTATAAATGAAAGATTATCTCAATAAGTTCAAGAAGAATAATTGCATATATTTTTTAAAGAATTTTATGATCATAGCTGAAAACCATGTACATTTGTTTTTGTAGTTTTCTCCATTCTCAAAATATGAATTGGACTTAACAGTAAACATCTTGAAAATAAACATCTGCTGCTTACATTAACTAAATTGTCTCCATAGGTTTTAAATAATTCATGAAGCAGCAGTTTCATATAATTCATAGCCTACCCTTGTAAAATTTTGCCACAGACAAAATTTATTGCAATAAATAGACAATAAAAATTACCAGATTTTTTTAATACATAATATGTATGCTGTATAATAGTGATGTGTATAAAATCACTTTAATCCATAATGGCCACAAGCAACAAACAGTGCTGTGGAAAAATCACCATTACGGCTTAGTGAGTTTATAAATATTGTTACCAAATTTTCATAAATTTCCAAATTTTTTTTCTTCTGTGTCAACAATATTGTAAAGATAAACAATAGAGCTTTTTTATTTTAAACACATGCATATAAATTAAAATGCCAAACATTATCATATATGGTATAATGCAACTTCATATGTACAATAAAAATTGAAATCTAAATACCCTGAAATTTTTCCAGTTATGTAACATCATTGTAAAATGAAACTGACCGAAAATTTAATCTTTTGTCCTTACTTTTGATTTAAAAAATCTATTTTTAGGTTTTTGAAATACTTAATATTACATACTCTAATAACAAAGTATTTATGGACTTTTGTTGTTAAAGGGAAATAATAATAATGCAGAATATTGTTGGTTTTCTAAATATGATTTAGTAAATCCACGTTAAAAACATTATGCAATTCTTAATTCTAAACGTAAGTTCTGTTACATGAGAGAATAATTAGATTCAAAAGTGTTTTTTTTTTGTTTAGTATATGCTGAAAAAGCATTTCTAAGCTGTTTAATACTATGACACTATAAATCTATATTTCTTGCCTTTTTTTTATCCTAGATTATTTTGTAATGTCAATTCATTAAAATTTTCAACTAAATAACACTATTATCAATATGCAACAGTTCCAAAACTTTATACAAGAAAATTGTCCCTTTAGATTACTCCATGTTTAGGCAAAATAAATTTATCTATTGAATTTTAATTCCTCTATCTGAATATTTTTTGCCTGAGAGAATAACAAAATATGGACTGCCAATTATTTTCATAGATATTTTTATGGCGGTATACTCCAAACGTCAAATCTAGTAGTAGTAACTGAAAATGATGGTTTTTGTTAAGTTTCTAACCAATCGATCAATAAAAATGTATTAATTTTTTTTACCTAGAATTTGTATTTTAATAAATTTTCTTAGATATTTTTTAAATGTATTCTTTCTGTAACAATATTGCACTACTGGGTAATGAGACTTTCAAATTATGAACATTCAAAACTAAAAAAAAAAAAAATGTTGATTCAGTTAAATCAGTTTTATAATGAAATGTAACTAATAAAAAACCTCCAACAAATTTATATAGACATAAATTAAAAAATGTAAGTTTATCTTATAAAAACTTCAGTTGTAATGAATAAAAGGATAGGAATTTATTAAAATATTAAAGAAAAATTCACTCTGAAGTGTTAATTTCAAATGCAGATAAATTTTTATTCAATCCTAATTAAACTAGTTTTAAAATACAGTAAACTCCCACCCCACTAACTTGAAGTTTGAATGACTCGCATGGTAATTTAAAATTTCTTGACAGAAAAATTATAATTAATGAATTTTTGATATCATGCATTCATTATATTACTGTAGTTGGAGGGTGCTCTGAAAGTCAAGGCTGTTGGCGTGAATTTTTCTCCACTTCCATACTCTGATTTATTCAAGAAATGAAAAATTTTCAATTATTTTCGAATAAAAGGAATAATATTAAGTTTCTTATTTTATTGTTACTGATTGCTGGAATAGAACCAAATCCCGGTCCCTTACAGAAAACTCCAACAAAGAGAGGAAGATCATCTACTCGTCAGAAATTACTGACTAATAGTATGAAACCTTATCACTGAATATACTGAACCTAAAAGAGCCGAATCATCATATTAAACAGGTGAGCTAATTAATTTAACTTCCTCACAAGAACAATTACCTGCAGAACAAATAGACATTTCAACAGCAGAATTATGGAATAAGATAGTCGAACTGATAACTAATAGTAATGATAAGTTGGTGAGTCAATTTTCACTTATAAGACAAGAAATTAATATAATTCAAAATGAAATTGTTGAATTTGATCTTTAAATTCTTTAAATAAAAATAAGAAATAATATAATAGAAAATGAATTTACTCAATATAAACTGGATACTATGACTAACACTATAAATAATAATAAAATAATAAAATTATAATTTATGATTATATAAATCAGCTTAAAAATATTACTAAAAATCAATTAGCAACATTTTTTCTAATACTTTAAAAATAGTTTGCAGCGAATCAGAAAGTATAGAAAATATATATTCAATACCTAATCCAAATATTCAAATTAAGTGCATAGTATTAAAATCAAACCAATTAAGAAATAGAATCCTTGCAGCCTTTAATAAATTGAAATATAACAAAACACTGGGAAATTGGCAAGAAATTAATATGTCAGCTGATTTAATTATGCTAATGATTTTTTGTTGTATTCTCTACAGAAAAAACCCAATAACATAATGTAGAATTAGAATGTGAAAATGATCAAGATATGAAAATTTCAAATAACTTAAATATCATGAACTGGAACTGCCAAGGCTTAATCCACAAAATAATAACTCAAGAATTTTCTTAATTACTATATAATACTGATATCTTAGGTATAACTGAAACCTGGCTAGTCACACCAGTTAATGAAATTATAAAAAATAGAATGGAATATACAATTATATTTTCTGACGCACAGAAACCAATAGGACCAGGGAGACCGTATGGAGGACTTTGTCTAATTTTAAGAAAAAACATTGGTTTTATAAAATTTATACAAAAAGCAACTAATTAAATTCTAATCTTATTACAAATTGATAATACTGATATGAAACATCTATACAAAAAGTTAATTATTATGGTGTTGGTTTACGTTTCGCCTGACCAGATAAATTTATTAAATGAAATACTTCAAACATCATAACAGCTAATATCAATATGAATATAAAAAGATTATTAATTCAATTAAGACTTAGTAAATTCTAAATAAGTATTATTGATAAAACAATGAATATTTATTAAGGACAGATGTTATTGGTGTAAATCAAATGACTGTTCTCTGATCCATATACTAAGAGACTGCGAAGGACTAAAGAAATATCATCAAAAATATGAAATTATAGAAGTAATATCTACAGAGTAAAATCAAGACTTTAGAACTAAATTAAACAATCTTACGTTAAATCAAATGTATAAAATTAATGGTTTTTCTAATCAAATTGCCAGAGAACTAAAAAATATGTAATAATAAAATTTAAAAAAATTGTTTTTACTAATTATGTTACTTAAAGTAAAATATTTAAAAAGGAAAATAATGATAAAATTTAATACTAAACGATTATTGTAATGTTATTAATGATCTTGAGTGTGATGTATATCAAACGATGAAAATTAAAACAAATGTATAATAATATATTATTGAAAAATACCCCCTGTAACAAGGCTTAGCCTTAATGCAAATAAAAATATTTGATATTACTGTAATTGGTAAGTTACTAAAGACACTATATGGCAACATAATGAAATTTCTTGAGTGATTTCCCATATTAATAAATTCAGCAGTAAAACTTCTTCATAGAGCAGATTGTAATAATTTATCGTACTGTATATTCATCTCCCAAGTCAGAGAAAACACCACTAACTCTGACTTTCCTAAACTTAGAATAATATCAGATAATTTTGAAATAATGATAATTTCAAATTTATTGACCAAAATGCTTCATGACAGCTAAACATCATATACAATATTTCACAAAATATAGTAGTAATGAATAACTTAGTAGGTGAACAAAGAAATAAATTAAACAAAAGTATTTGTTTGATTAATAAAGCAAATGAGATACAATCGAAGAATCCTTTAGAAGTAGCAGGAGTCCTATACGAGTTGATGTGCACGTGTAGAGAACGGAAATACTATATTCGAGAAACAGGAAGAAAACTGGAAGTGAGACTGAAAGAGCATGAAGCGGCAATCCGACTAAATAGAACAGAATCCCCGTGGCAACAACACTGCAGTATAACAAATTGTATTATTGACCGAAATAATATTAAAATATTGTATAAAGTAAAAAATCTTGTAAAAAGACGCATCATAGAACATTATTGTATTAAAGGACATGTAAATTGTATAAATTTAAATACCGGCGCATGTGTTGATGCATGCTGGGATAGCTTGATAGCTTATAAAAGTACTGGCAACGTAACAATGTAATATCCACTGATGAGGCTAACGAGCGAAATATATATGGATAAAAATAGAAAAATAAAGTAAGAAATAGTGAAAGTGATTTTCTGGTCTTTCTCTGT